AGCAGGGACTGGGTGGGGATGGAGGGTCACTGCGAGGTGGGTGAAGGTGGGGTTGGCCACACTTCCAGTCACAAAAGAGGATCCCTTTCTCGGCATAGCCACTGGTGTGCATTTGTGAAAGTCAGGCTGCGGTCTGTACAAGATGGCACCACTCGCTGCGTCAAGCTGGCAGCAGTAGGTCAGGCTGTCTTCTTTATGGTCTCTCGTGTCTGTTGTGTAGAGTCTGTGAGGCTTGTCTGCCTAGTTTGCCAGCGTGGTTGAAGTCCTTAGGACTTTTAGCACTAATTTCAGTAATACAGAAAAAGAAGGGGCGTGAATGAACAGTCTTCATGGTTTCTTGTGGAGACATTTTAAGCCAGAATAAAGTGAGCCATTTGATAAATAGGCATGAAAACTGTCCATTGGAGATTATGAAGAAATGAAACTTCTTGTCCTTGACATAAGCAACAGTATAATAGATGTATAAAGATTTTTTAATTGTAAAAATATAGGACAGATATTAAGGTACACAAATTATGTTTTCTTTTAAAGGTGCTTGCTTTAGTCTCCTGTTTTTAAATGAACCCAAAATGCCGATAAGACCAGATGTCCAGGTATGTAGCCCTACACCAGCGGTTCTCAACCTATGGGTTGCAACCCCTTTGGGGATCTAAAGACCCTTTCACACAGGTCGCCCTGTGAAATTCATAACAGTAGCAAAATGACAGTTATGAAGTAGCAACAAAAATAATTTTATGGTTGGGAGGTCACCACAACATGAGAAACTGTATTAAAGGTCATGGAATTAGGAAGGTTGAGAACTACTGCCCGAGACCAAGAGGAAATAATGCAATTTTAATTTTTAAAATCACTTTTGTGTTGTTTAACTTACACTTCTTTTAATTTTAGTAATGACAACTTACATGATTTCGTCTACAGGGGTCATGAAAAAATTTCCCTTTATTTAACATGTTTTCAGAAAGATATACTAAGAATATGTAACAAACATTAGCGATGTAGGTTCTATGCATTGCTTACATGTAAATACAGATTTGTGTATATAAAAATGGATATTCACATATTGAATTTTTAACATGGCAAGATGCTTGCATTTTAGGTAAAGAGTAAGTTTTATAGACTCTATTTAATACAACGACAATGTGCCACTCCATCTGTTTAGTCTTCAGAGTGTAGTATGAAAATTCCTTATTTTTGAAGTTGTATATTAATAACACAGACACCATATTTTGTAAAAATTACAGGTATTATAAGGATAGTGCTTAAGTTATAATCATTGGTAGATTTTCTAGAAGGATGCTTTTATCTGTCTATTCATTTTCCTCTATTATGGAAACCCTATGAAGAAATTGGTAGTAAGATATGCTAGATATAAGTTGCTGTGATGCTTTAGTTCATTCACCAACAACAATTTCTTGGTTCAGATAATCTGATTTTAGCAATAAAAATTGAAAATATTTTTACTAATGGGAAATTAATGTGCTCAATAAGTTTACTATTTAGCCCTTACTATTGCTAAAAATGAAATCTGTAACATAGTTAACCTAAATTTAAGGTATATAAAAATTAGTGAATTGATGTAAGAGTTTCTGTGTGAAAGCAATTCTTAAATTACTAAATCACATAAGGAAATTACGTTTAGATTTGAATAGCTATATGTGTCATTAATTATCTTTGTTTCATTAATTATCTTTCTCTAGCAGTTGGAAAAATACATCGATGATGCTTTTAGGAAAAATTATTTCAAGCCTTTAAGAACACTTTTACAAATTGATATTTGTGAAGATGTGATGATTAAGTGCAGCAAACAGTTTGTCCATAAGTTGAATGACCTTATGTGCAGGGTAATTGTTCATTTTTTGCTAAATCATTGTTAAAATTATTACATAGTACTTTACTTAAGACCTGAGTGATCATCCTCATTATTACATAAGTAAAGGCTGATTTTTACCATGTGCTTACTTTGCTTTATTTGAGGAGTCTCAGGTAACATATTGGACTACTGTTTTACAGATAAATGTACAAAAAGCTTTGCTAACCTTGGGTTACTGTTACTGTTACCTGAAATGGCAGGGTTTGGGTGGGGATGAGATTTACCTCTCTGAAGTTTAAATAACTTGATCTGTTTTATTTGTTTGTTTGTTTTTAAAGAAACCTTTCAAAAGATTTTTGGTGTTATATAGTCACTATTAGGTGTTTACAAAAACCAGCAAACACCAAAACCAACCCAAACCTGGGTTTGATTTATCCTACCTAAGGCATTTTTGTATGTGAGTAAAAGCTATAATATGCCGTCTTCTCTGGTGCCTGAGATTTTTTTATCCTAGAGAGTACAGTTAACAAAAAAATTTTTTTCTTTTAATTAAATACAGGGCCATTTAAAGAAAGTAAGATAATGGATTAATTGTATAATGGTCCAAGGTTTCTTGCATTTTCACAATTCTATGTTTTTGTCCTGAGTTTGACATTCACTAACTGGTGGCTTTGGGTAAGTTGCTTTTGTAGAAACACAATTTCTTCTTTGGTAATATGATGATGGTGGGAATGGCTACCTTTCAAGAACTTGTGAGGATTATTAGTATATGCAAAGCACTTAGCACAGTGCTTGTTTCCCAATAGCATTATTCTATTACATAGTATTCTGTTCTATATTACTTTGTGTTTGCTAAAGTTTAAACATGTACTTTTGATTCAGGAACTTATAAAAAAGAATATCCAAATCGTTTCAACCATTTTGGTTTCTATTGGAAGATGTGGGAAAAATATCAGTATATTGGGACAAGCCGGACTTCCGACTATGATAAAACAAGGACTAGTCCAAAAGATAAGTATAGAATATGTAACATAGTCATTCATGAGAGGGAAATATAGTAAAAAGGTATATTTCATAATAAAATAGTTCAAACTATTGAAAAATACATTTGGTAGTTGTACATAAAAAATTGAGAACAATGGGAAATCAATGTGCTCAATAAACTTCCACCCAAAGCACAATAAAAGGTTAAATAAATAGATAAAATACACTTTGTGTTATAATGACAAGGATGGTTCAAATATGTTTTATGAATGAGAAAGCCATATGTAATTTCTCCCATTGAAAACATAATGCCAAAAGAGTTTCACATTTAAGTCAAAGTGCCCTTTGTGTTCCACACCTATGAGGACGTTTCCCATCATGTGAATGATAAAATAAAATAAATATTCCTATATTCTGTAGTTTATGTTAGAGATAAAAACCACAAATAAACCATATACAAGCTCTTGATAATCGTGTGGATTTAAAATAGCAAGGCACTTAGGGGGAACCTATCACAATGATGACCCATAACTCACCCCCACCCCTGGCCCCAGGGGGATGAACAACAGAAACGTGGGTGAAGAGAGACAGCAGTTGGTGTAAGATATGAAAACAATCATAATTTATAACTTATAAAGGGGTCACGAGGCAGGGAGGAGGGAGGGAGGAAGGAAGGAAGGGAAAAAGAGCTGATACCAAGGGCTCAAATAGAAAGTAAATTTTTAGAAAATGATGCTGGCAACATATTTACACATATGCTTGATACAATTGATATAATTGATATGTGGAATGTTGTAAGATCTGTAAGAGCCCCCAATAAAATGATTTTTAAAACTTCTTCCTAATAGAAAATAAAATAACAAGACACTCTAATGCCTTGCTTTATTTTCCTATAGAACAGAGTAAAACTGTCCCCATGAGTTTCCGAGACTAACTCTTTACAGAAGTAGAAAGCCCCCTCTTTCTCCCTCAGAGCAGGCTGGTGGTTTTGAACTGCTGACCAATTTTCTTTATAGCTCTTGTTAATCACTGTGTAACATTATTTCTTTTTCTTTTTCATATCACGTAGTCTGTCTCTTACAATAGGATTTGGGGCATTGTATTTTGCCTATTTGATTCACTGATAATATCCTTAGTGCCTGGCACATAGTACCCCAAACCCCCTTCCATCGAGTCAATTCTGATTCACAACAACCCTCTAGGACAGAAAAGGCTGCCTCGGTGGCTGGTTTCCAGGTAGAGAGCTTCACAGAAGCAGCCTGCTATGCCTTTCTCCCGTGGAGGAGCTGAGCTGGAGGTTAGCAGCTACATTGTCAGAATTAATTAGCATAATACCAACACTTTTGAAAGGGTAAAGATGCCAAAAGACTTTAAATTATGATGATAATAGTTTTTGTCTATCAAAACAAATATACTGAAAATAGAAATTTAAAAAGGTAACAAGGTCTCCTACCTGAAACCAAAATTAATTTGTGGTGGTGATAAATTTTTAACCCCTTGGACAGACTAGAACTACTTCAGGCTTTTCCTAGCAATAACCTCAATGGTTACATGTTGCCAGGTGTTTCTCCCATAGAGTCTCTGGGTGGGTTCTAACTGCCAAAATTTGGGTAGCAGTCCAGGACTTTATCATTTGCACCACCGGAACCCTTTTAAAATACCTACTCTCATCTAAACCAAGAAAAAATACGAGCAACAAGATAGAAGCAACAATAAAAGCAAGAAAGATATTTAAGAGGATATGATTTTGACCTCATACTGGAATTTTTATTTTTTATGTAACTTTACTCATAGCTATACTGTTTATATAAGGATAGATGAATATATTCTTTTTTTAATTTTTTTTACTGTCTCCTTTTTTTTTTAAGTCAATTTATTGGGGCTCATACAATTCATCACAATACATAGATCAATTGTGTAAAGCACATCTATACATTTGTTGCCCTCATTATTCCCAAAATTCGCTTTCCTCTTGGGTTCCTGGAATCAGCTCATTTTCCTTTTTCCCCTCCCCTTCCCTTCCTCCTCCCCTCTCCCCCATGCACCCTTCATAATTTATAAATTATTATTGTATCTTATATTACACTGTCCGGCGTCTCCCTTCACCCACCCCTCTGCTGCCCGTCCCCCAGAGAGGAGGTTTATATTCTTAATATTACTAAAATTCAAAGTAACTAACATGTATATTCCTTGCTTTTACATGGTTTCCTGGTTTGAAAAATCTAAAGAGTTCATTTTAAATGGAAGATATTCAAAAGATGAAGCTGTTATAAATATGATAGAAGATTTCTTTGATGTTTTGATGGTAAAAACACATTAATTTATGTGTTAAAGTATGTGCTTATTAACACACACACTCAATATGTGTTCTAGCTATAGGCCTTGACCATAAAAGTCGCTAACAGATTTTTAAATGATTTTACATTGATTAGTTTATTCAGTTTGTAGTAAGCATTTATCCCTATCTTAGTTCTTTAGTGCTGCTATAACAGAAATTATCACCAGTGGATGGTTTTAGCAAATAGAAAATTGTTTTCCCACAGTTTAGGAGACTGTGCAAACCCAGACTGTCAGCTGTCAGGGGGGAAGACTTTCAGTTGTTTGTGGAGGAAAGGCCTTTATTTGAGCTTCTCCTTCTGGGTGATCTTCATGTGTCTTAGCTTCTCTCCTGTTCCACCTCAGCTTGCTGCCTTGTGTTTCATCAACCCAATACTGTATTTCACAAGAGAGTGAAACAAAACGCCCTCTATACAAAAAAAATTTCATTAATGTAACATAACAAAGGTGATCCATTTCCAAATGAGATTATAAACCCAGACATAGAATTTAGGATTTACAACACATATTTTTGAGGGTCGAAGTTCAATTTACAGTGGTCCTGATTAATTTAATTATGTGATCAGTTAATAAATAAAGTTAAACAATTATGTAGTGAGTTAAGATACAGTCTGTTACTTTTGATATTTGCGATGATTCATAATATAATAATAAATTAGAAATTAAACATTATTCATTCTTTTCCAGGTCATACATGATGTCAATGATGAAGGTATGATATTTTATTGAAACAAGTTATTTTTAGAGCTCAAATATAGTTTGTAATTTTAATAATCTAATATAAAACAGAATTTCATAAACTAATAATAGAACTGATTTACATAATTCAGAGATGACCAAGTTTTCTATAAAAGGCCAGAGGGTAAATATTTTAGGCTCTGTGGGCCAAAAGAAAACTCCAAATCAAGTATGTAGGTACTTAATGGTGGCATATGGTGGGTTCTGAGTTGAGCTGCTAACCGCACAAGGGCAAGAGTTCATAACCAACAACTGCTCCAAGGGAGACAGATGAGGCTTTCTGCTCCTGTAAAGATTTTCAGCCTTGCAATCCCACAGGGACAATCTACTCTGTTCTATATGGGCATGATGAACCATAATTGTCTCAATGGCAGTTGGTTTGATTTTTTTTTTACAGTGAAACAAAATTTTGAAAGTTCACAAACAATATGCTACAGTTGAAAATATAAGAAGAAATTACAATTTTTGGAATACAGTCTCTGAAAAGAATGGCATTCTTTTTGAGGGATAACATTTCACTTAATTGGGGTCCAAAGTTATTTACTGATACTGAAATTGATTACAAATGTTTGTTTTATAAAATTCCCACCTTTTAATGAAGGTTTATGTATTTAACGTTTGTGCAGGTACTGCCAAATAGTGATGTAATTTCACAAGAATATGTATTTTAATTCAGCATATTCATCATCTGGAAGGCATTTATAGAATTTTATTAAGTTATTTTGTTAATATTTGCCTTTGAGAATACCACTAAAATTAAAGATGAATTACTTTCAATTGAAGACTTGGTAGAAGCTCCTTGACTGCACAGTTAAATGGATCTTGAAACAGGCAAAATTTTCTTTGCATTTACTTTGAGGTTGAGAAGGTTCCTGGATCTGTAGCTGGAGCTTGGAAAAATCCGTGTGGGAAACTTGCTTAACGTTTTACAGCCTATTATACGGAAGTGTGTCGGCAGCTTGGTGTTATTTGTGAATCAAATAATAGATGTTTCCAAAATGAATTTACTATAATATAAATTTTCTCAATATAAGCTCTAGTTTGCCTTGAAATTTTGGGTTGGATATATTAAACTACTGAAGTCCTCTGCAAAAGCTAATTTCCACAACTGTTCTGTGTTTGATATTAAGGGTTCAGGAAAATTCCAGTCTTGGCCCAGAGTCCAAAATACCACACTCAAACTTTACCAGTTCTAGGTTATCAGCCTGCTGTGTGACAGGGGCAACTCAGGATACCCAGCTTCTGTTTCTGACCAACATTTCCTGACCATGGGTAACGTCATGAGAGTGGATGAAGGTCATGGCCGACACCGCTGGTTCAAATGCAGACGTTTTCTGCTGAGCATGCTGTTCATAATTTAGATAAACAGCTGCCATCACGTTCCTCTATTTGATAGCAGCCCCACGTGTGTTAGGGTAGGACTGTGCTCTGTCACAGGGATTCCAGTGGCTTCTTAGCCCGTTAGACTTGTCTTTGGAGGTCCTGCTGGCTGCACCAG